CCCAATCCTCTAATTTGTCTAGGTCCCTCTGTATCTGATCCCTACCCTCCAGCGTATCTACCACACCTCCCAGTTTAGTGTCATCTGCAAACTTGCTGAGAGTGCAGTCCACACCATCCTCCAGATCATTAATAAAGATATTAAACAAAACTGGCCCCAGGACCGACCCTTGGGGCACTCCGCTTGAAACCGGCTGCCAACTAGACATGGAGCCATTGCTCACTACCCATTGAGCCCGACGATCTAGCCAGCTTTCTATCCACCTTACAGTCCATTCATCCAGCCCATACTTCTTTAACTTGGTGGCAAGAATACTGTGGGAGACTGTATCAAAAGCTTTGCTAAAGTCAAGGAATAACACCCAGTACCTCTTCATATTGTCTGGCCCCTCATACAAGTTCAGAACCGAGCGAGCAAATGTTCCTCAGCCAGACTCTGATGCCTCTCCCAAGAGGGAGGGAGACCATTTTCCTTCCTTGGTCGCTGAGAAAAAGTTCTCACAAAAGGGACCGCAGCTGCTCCAGAGATCGGGGAGATTCATCCTCCTCTTCCAGGATGAGTGCAGACTAGTACCATGATTCTTCTGGTATGCAGGATGGAGCCTAGCCATCTGCTTGCTCTCTGGTACTGAGGTGACATCAGTTAGATGCTACACCATTGACTCTGAAACCATCCCTGGGACAGCTGTTGAGTCCAGTACTGATGACATCAGCACCATCTATTTCCGTGCCACTGGTGTACCAAGCAGCGTTAGACTTGCTTTACCTCTCTGTTCCTGACTCCCCAATTATTCAGGAGCATTGAGCTTCCGGCACTACTACTTTGTGGTCCTCAGCAGTGCCTGGATTAATTGTAGAACTGTCTCAATTGTCTACATTATCTTCAGCAACACCTCAGAGTGGGCAGCTGAGGTTTGCCACCTTATCTGTACCTAAGGGTCTGTTGGCACAGTTACTGTCTTCGGTACTGATGATGACTGTGGTACAATCCACATCTACAGGGTCAGTCCTGATCCTGGGTTTGGTGCCATCTCCTGTTTTGGTATTGAGTGGGAGTATGATGCCCCTGACAGTCCTCAAATGTTGACTACTTTATCTACCTTGGTATCAATGCAACTGACATTTTCGGCTTCAGATGAGGCTGGATGTTTGCTCACTCCACCTGGGATGTCTCCCTGGTTGTCTTTGGATGCTTTTGTGGAGGGTTGTCAGGGTTAAGCTCAGGGGAATCCTCCCAAGCTCCCTGACCTTTGAGACACCATTCTCATAGATTGTCAAGACTTCCTATGGATTGAGATTGAGAATGGTCTGTGGAGAACAGAATGTTGAGGTCCATTTTAGGAGAATGGTGTATTCTGGCTATCAATCTGTTTGCAACAAAAAACAACAATAAGTGTCATTGATTTATCTCCTGAGCAGGCCTCGGTCCTGGCTCCTTGATGTATGTCTTGCACCTGATTTGGGGATCAGAATTTATATATTCCTTCTCTCCAATCCCAATCATCCCTCATGTCATTCTCAAACTGAAGTTGGATCATGCCAGGCTGATTCTCATTGTACCAGAGTGGCTGAGACTGTTGGCTCTCCGATCTCTTCAGTTTATCAGTTTGACCACCCTTATCTCTTCCTCTTTATCCTGACATACTGATCCAGCACCATGGTCAGGGCAAGCAGCACCTCACAGCATGGATGCTACATGGATAGGTGAAGAGGAGGAATGATGTTTGGAAGCAGTTCAACAAGTGTTACTTAATAGTGGGAAACCGTACACTTGGCCGAATAAGTAGCCCTAGTAGTTGTAATTTTCAGTTTGGTCACTAGCCTGGGAAATTCAGCTAATGCTGGCCTGCATTCAGGACATCTTGGGGTACCGGCTGTACCTTCAGTCTTCTGGTCTTTCACCCATTTTGTTAAGGGTTCACTTAGCAGTGAACTCAGTGTTTCCTCTGTCCATCCAAGGCAAGTCAATTTTCTTGAATTCCATGGTAGTGAGATTTCTAAGAAGAGACATTCGTTTCCTTGTGGGACCATAACACTCTTAAGCTGTCTTTTTGAGGCCTCCGTTCGAGCTCTTGGCAACTTGTTCTTTTGTCCCTCCTGTGCCAGAAGACAGTCTTCCTTATTGCTATAACATCAGCAAGGAGAGTAAGTGAGCTGCAGGGCTTAACAGCAGAACCCCCACATATGCAATCTTTCAAAGATAAGGTGGCCCTACAGTCATATCCAAATTTTTTGTCAAAAGTGGTTTCACCTTAATCAAATGATTTACTTCCTGGTGTTCTTTCCTAAACTGGACTCAAATACAGATGAACAGTGACTTCACACATTGGTTATGAGATGGTGCTTAACCTAGAGAGAACTAAGCCTTTTCAGGCATCACCTGGTGTTTTTGTCTCCTATATGGATCGAATGAAGGGTCAGGCTATCTCTGCAAAGATGATTTACAGGTGGATAACTTCCTGGATGAGAGCATGTGAAGTAGCTCAGACCATACCTCCATAAAGATTATGGGCTCATTTGACAAGGGCCCAAACAATGTTGATAGCATTCCTCACTGATGTTTCAATATTGGACATTTCACATCTGCTACCTGATCTTCAGTACGTACTTTTACCAAGCGCTATGTAGTTACCACTGCATTTAGGTCAGATGCAGACCTTGGGAAAGCAGTACTGAAGTCATTGTTTAAATAGACTCTGAGCCCCTCCTCCTGTGAGTACTGGGTGTGAGTCACTTGAGTGGACTAAATGCTTGCAACTACTTGAAGAATGAAAAATGCTGTTCTTGTTATTGTACTCCACAAGCAATTTTCTCTCCGATTTCCATCTCAAAGAACAACAATTACAGTGCATATAGGTAACCATTTATTTCCTGGGTTTATAATGCTTGGGTTTTGGATAATTACAATAGCTGTATAAGGTATTTTACCCCAAATTACTAATATGAATTCTTGATCTTAATTCAATCTTAACATAATTTTTGTCTGGGAATTTCCAAGGTTTTTTAACTTACAAATTGCACACATGATCCATAAATGAGGAACTAAATGAAAATGTTAACAAGTGATATCTCTAATGATTTGAAGATATGAAGTATCAACTTCAAATCTATTTATTAATTTTTCAGCTTTTATGGTCAGATTCACTGTCATGTTTTGGCTGTTTTTCTTGACTCTAGAAAAGCCAAATCAGACAGAGTATACTGGCCACTGAAGCTGAGTTTAAAGCTACTTTGCTTGGCAGAGCAGTGTAAAGCTCTTGTCCCGCAAATTCGCCCGCCTCTTGCACCTTCCTATATTCCTCTGTATTCCCTCACAAATTCCGTGTTCTTATTGTCCTTTATATTTCCCTGAAACGCACACCAGTTTTCCTCTTCCCTCCATTACCAACCACACTCCCCCCCCCAATCATTTTTCTCTTCTGCTACTACATTAATTCATGGATGCATGTGCACACACACTCCACTGTTTTCTGTTCCCTACAGCCCTCTCTCTGGAGTAGATTTGGTACCTTCTGAAAAGAAATAATTAGGGTCAATGGTAATTTTTCCATTGTTTTTCATGTAAAGTTACTGTCAGCAGGGTTTGGTGTATGAAATTATCTCCTTCAGAAAACACATGGAGAATTGCCCTATTCAAAATGGTCAGCCCCTCCAAATGCTCTTAAAAGAAATGAAGCCAAACTATCTCGGAGTGCTGGTGGCCCCTATACTCTTAGGAGGAGACACTCAATCACATTCATAGCAACGGTAGAGATATGCCCTTTTCATAATAGTCATCTAACTAAGGGCAGCGCTGGCTTCAGTTTTGATGAGAACAATGGGAAGATGACAGCCATTTTGAAAGATGGCATTTTTCTTGTGGAATCATTTGGAGCAGAACATTATCTGACAGCTGCTGCTGAAGGAGAAATTTTCAGTTCTCTCTCTCTCCATATATACATAACCCTCCCCCCCCCACCAAAAAACCCACCTTAAAATGTAACCTTTGCACAAGAGTTCAATTATTTTTAATTATATAGGACATTTGCGGTATCTGCATTATTTCTATTTTTTTTAATGTAGCTTAAGCAATTGATGGGGAAGGTAAGCTGCATTTTTAATATGTAACAAAGTGGTTAAATTCCTGCTTTAAGTGCAAAACTCGTCTCATCATTAAATATGGAGCTGACAGTTGTTCTCCATAATATATAACATGCATGCTGCACATAATTAAATATCTTTCATACTGCAGTTTAGAGTACAGAAGCATAACAAAATTTTCACCTTTGGCAGTCATGTTTTTTACAAGTTCATAAAAATATGTAACAGTTTAACCTATAGGCTGGAATAATGTCTTCAGAGGCTTCTTTGTACCACCAAAACTTGGTTGTAGGCATGGGGTGTGTTAATTATGTCCTCATCTCTTCAGAATTTCCTGGACAAAGCAAAATTTTTAAATTTAATATAGGCAGGAGTGAATTTCATCCTCAGTAAGTAATTATGTTGCCCTGTCAGGGTACCACATTGGAAATGTAATACAATTATACAGTACACCGCTACCTCGATATAACGCGACTTGATATAACACGAATTTGAATATAACACGGTAAAGCAGTGCTCCGGGGGGGGGGGGGGGGGGCGGAGCTGTGCACTCCGGTGGATCAAAGCAAGTTCAATATAACGCTGTTTCACCTATAACACGGTAAGATTTTTTGGCTCCTGAGGACAGCGTTATATCGAGGTAGAGGTGTACTATATAAAAAGTACAATAACCACATAATTGAAATGTAGGTACTTCTAAAATGCCAGAAAACTGGTGCCACATAAAAATAATTTTATTTTAATAGAATATTGCATTAACCAATTTTTCAAGTTAATAACAAGGTAGTATCAAATAAAATGTCACTAATATGTATAGCTATTACTTATTTAGGGTTTTGTTTTATTTTTGCTGTTTGAAAGTTATCTGTATTCACTCATAATGAAATTTCTTACATTTTAAGAGCTTTTTTTTTCTACTAGGTTATTCAGATAAATTTTGAAGAATTTGATCTGGAGATTGGCTACGACACACTGACAATTGGTGACGGAGGGGAAGTCGGTGATCCTAAAACTGTGCTGCAAGTGTAAGTCTCTGTTGATTTGATATGCTTTGCAGAATTACTTTAATATAGGGTTTTCTGGTGGTATTGAATGATGCATAGATTGGACAAAATTATTTTCTGGTATAACCTGAGAGATGAATAACACCAACAAAAAAATAATCTTATGGAGCTCATCAAATTATTCAAGACTGACATATAGGATAAGGTATTTTAGTTCATATTTACCATTCTAGTTTCAAAAGAAGATGGGCATGAGAGCTAAAACAGAATAATGTAGCCCATTTCTTCAGGCAGACTGATTGTGTTTTGCTAAAAATAAGCCTATAAATGCAGTTTTCCCAGGGTTACTATGTTCCTCTGCAAGGGCTGGGTGGTCGGATTAAGAATGTGATATAGAGGAAAGGGAATGGACAGAGAAATGTACTGCTTAAGTAATTGTCTTCTTTAATAAGCCCATCTTGACAGCAAATGAACCACAGGAACCTTTATAGCTCACTGACTATGACAGGTAAGCCCTGAACACAGGCTAGATCGTCTCTGTAGTTTCCTGTTAAATATTGCTGTTACCTAAACCATCTAATATTATGAGTTCGTCAGTCCTGGGTACCTAGTGCAGGTAACTTATTGAGTGTCTATCTTTGGGTTTTAGATTGCCACCCATCACCACAGTATCTATGTGCCTAAATCTATTTTATAATAATCAGTTTGTTGGGTCCTAGATTCAGATTTGTCATTTACTTAACCTGCTGGTGTTTGGCTCTCTTGCGGTGATCAGTCCCAAGAAGCCAAGTTCATAAAAATATATTTAATTAATAATGTTTAAAAAGACATCAAATATAAAACAATTATTCTGACCTTAATTTCCATGTATTTTGAAAGGGGCAGAACAGTGTAACTTGACATTAGTTGTCTTTCGTTAACTTGTGTTGTATTGGGTTTTTTTCCTCTAATCTTTTTCAATTGTAATAATCTGGAGCAAAAGTAGCTATAAATTGTGTGTGATTTGTTTTCATGAGGTCCATTTGTATGCATTTAATTTAGTATTCCATATTTGCTTCATTTTTCTTTAAAAATAAATAAAGATAATATTTTGTTGCTTAGAGAAGTTCATATGAGTAGATCATATGAGTAGATCATAAATGAAACTTTTTGGCCAGTACTTTTTTTTTCTGTGAATAACACAAATGCACACCATTGAAACATTTCACAAAATTGTTGTGGGAAAAAAACATTGATATTTTCAAAATCAAACCTTTTAGATTTTTCACTTTGAAACTACTTTTTAGTTCAAAATTTCCCTTTAATTTATTTTATAAATTCAGAAACATTTGAAAATGATCAAAATTGAAATGTTTGATTTTGAGATAAAATATTTCATTTTACCTGAAAAAAAAATTAAATTATTTTCCAAATTAAAGATGAACCAAAAAATCTGTTATTTTCCCATTTATTTTCTCTATTTATAAGAGATTGGTCTTTTGCAAATAGCTGCGTAAATAATATGCAAATGGGGAGAAGGGTTAATATATTTTTTAACAAATATCTTTTTAATAATCACTTCTGAACAGAGGCCTTATGTGCCGACTTTCATTCTGATTATTTTTCAAAACTGAGTTTTAAACTCTGAATATAAGAGTTCATATAATGAAAGTGCTGGGAAAAACAAAACGGTAGCTTCTCAAGTGGGTATAATATATCTGTATAAAATGAATCAAACATAAAAGTTCAATCCTGGACAAAAATAGACATATTTGTTCAAACAAAATAAATCATCAGTTAAAAATGGAAAAGACCTTATAGGGACATCTAGTCCACCCCCTGCGGATGCAAGTTTATTCCCTACAGTACATTTTCTAGTCATTTGTTTTAAAGTGTTTTTAAATGTCCTGAGCAATAAGGCTTCTATCACATCCCTTAGGTGTCTATAGCAAAGCTTACTAGATCATAGTGCACAATGTCAGGAGGATCTTTTTGATATTCACCTTATTTTCCCCTTTCTTAAGTTCATCTAATTACTCCTAATTATACAGCCTTGAACCTTGCTCTGTCTCCTTGGCATTTATACCCTTCAAGTGTCTACAGACTTTCATCATGACTCTCCCTTAGCAATATTACCCTTTTCATCATAAGATAAACCCTAACTATTCTTTGTGGCTCTTTTCTGTACTCCTACCTTTTTGTCAATATCTGGGATATTACTGTGTGGCAAGATGGTGCACTGTAGATTCACAACCTGGCTTGATGCACAGTAACTTACCCTGTAGACTTAAATCAGCACAAAAACTGTGTATATGTAACCCACACACCTCCTGGGTGTGGTGTTCTGTCCCATCTAGTGGCACTGAGACCACTTAGAGAGAGAGAGAAAATGTGTCTGCTCTACAGCCTTAAGGTAACAGCCAGTTGGCTTTTAGCTCATGCTGTAGAGGCTCATGCACTAAGCTCTAGAGGTTCCTGGTTCGATCCTGCCCGCCGACGACCAAGTTCTGTCGGCGTTACAAGTGGGGGTTCGTCCAGGATTTCAACTGGGAAGTCTCTGAAGCTCGGGATGTGCTTCCTCAGCTAGGGGAAGTATGTAACTTGCACATCTTCTGGGTGTGGTGTTCTGTCCCATCTGGAGACAGAGAGAGAAAGAAACTGCTCTATAGTTAGTCAGTTGGCTTTTAGCTCATGCAGTAGAGGCTTATGCACTAAGCTCCAGAGGTCCCAGGTTCAATCCCGCCCGCCAACAACCGGGGTCTGTTGGTGTTACATGTAGCGAAGCCCTCAATATTTCAAATGCAATCATATTTGTATAGCAATATATATCTTCAAAGGACTATATATACATCATTATTCACATTATATTGAAAAGTTAGAAAGTAAGATTATTATTCCCATTTTTATACAGGGAAAGTGAGACACAGATGTTAAATGACATTCCCAAGAGCACACAGCAGTCACAGGTAGAGACAGAATTTAGAACTCACATGCTCCTACTTCCCTGGACCACACTGCCTCATCTGAGGGGAGAGCATTTATTAAGTACTAATTCTTCAGGTTCTAATACCACTTAAATGAAGTGTTGGTATTATTATCTTTGGCACTTAAATTACTGTAACACATTCAGATACAGTGCAGCAATATTTTACATTTTGACAAATGTAGTGAACCATTCTGTACTGGTTTGGTTTCATTAAAGGTGTTAATATTTTACAAGAATGTATTTGATAATGAGGCATATTTTGAAGAATGATGAAATTACAGTATTGAAGCTGTCAAGAATATGAATGAACTCTGTATCATTTTCTCTTATCAATGCATTACTCAAATTGTCATGATATTCTATTAAGTAAGGATTAACATCAAATGTAACAGGGAAGTTGTGATCAGTAGAGAGCTGAGCAACTAAATTGCAACAAATATTTTCAGTTCAGAGGATGCTGATGACCAGAACATGATTTCCTCAAATTATTTTGAAGGTTCTATGTTTTTTTTTAAAATCATACTTGAATTTTGAGATGTGTTAGTTTGTTGTGACTGGTCACATCTGACACATAGGTATTGTTTCTGTTCCCCAAGTGTCTGAGTATCAATTGTTTTGTAATAAAGCTTGTGGCAGTCACTAGGTATAAAACCTCTCAGGAAGAATTAACAATGTAAGTCAAGGCAGTAGATAATTAGGGAATGTTAGAAAATTTTAAATCTTTTCCTGTCTGGGCCACATAGAAAAAATAGGCTACTGTGCAACTTAGAGGCTGGGGTGGAATCCACAAAAGAACTTAGGCAGCTGTGTCCCTGTTTTGGCTCCACTGTGATTCACTACACTCTTGCTGAACCATGTAGACATCTAAACTCAGCACCTGTTTTTCAGGGTAAAAATTTCCTAGGCACCTAAGTTTCTGCCTCTGGGCATGTGCACTGCTGCCTCCCTTTAGGCATCTGGACACACATCTCCCACCTAAGCCTCAAAGTGATTCATGAAACAGGGGAAGACAGGCATTTGGCCACCTAAGTCATGTGCAGGGGTCCATCCCACAGGTATGCTCATTCAAAATCCAGAAGGACGAGAAGGTGATGGTACCCACCTTATAATTTTTAACCACACTCACTTGGAATGGGAGAGACCCAGGTTTAATTTCCCCATCTCTGCTAAAGTGTGAGAAAAAATTTGAACAAGTGTCTCCACCTCTCAGGAGAGTAATGACAGAGCTAGAGATTAGTCCAATGTGGGGCTCCCTCGGTCTCTCCTGTTGAAGCTTTTCTGCTGTAGATAAATAATGAAAGAGTGATTGGAGCAGAGGGACTGGACCCTGGGTCATTCTCTCTCTCTCTCACCCAATTCAATCGTTTTTCTTCCAGCAGATTTTCATATAATACGGTGAGAATGCAAAGTCCTACCCATGAATGTTGTCATCAAATCCTTGTTAGACGTGTTTACCTGCCACTTTACCAAGGCTAATTAGGAAGATTATCAGTGTCTGAACCCACTAATTATACCAGGCACTGCTAGACACTTATTACCCAAAGCACCTGGGGCCCACATCATCAACTTGAGTAAATTCGTGTAGTTTAATTGAAGTCAATGGGGGCTATAATTACAACAGGTGAGGATCTAGCTCCTAATTTGCAAAGTGCCATTCAGGAAAGTGCTAGGGGTGAACAAAATGAATTGTCAGTGTTTTAATTTTACAGAAGTGGGGTAAACCTTGTGAAAGTTTAGGGTCATTTCCCCCATGAAAGTGCTAAGGTATTTTGTGCACAATGGCAATTTCCAACAATGTGGAAAAAATGAATTTATTAAACAGAAATTGTACTAATTTCCATGGCCCTATATTATAAAAATGTTTTCCATTGAGACCAAAATTAAATGTAGGTCTGGAAATTCTCAATGGCTGTTGCCAAAATCTAGAATCAGCCAGCTACCAGAGACAATTACCAAAATCTAGAGGTGGCCAGTCCACCAATGCTTGCTCTAGTGGAGAGACATCCTGTTATTAACTTGGCAGTTTATGAAATTGCCAGTCATGGCAAGATATATT